TTCCTACTATGACATTACATACCTCATACCATTTATCTGCTTCAAAGTACAGACTGATCCTGGGATATCCTTGGTGAAGTGGGACATTGGTAGCTTAGCAAGGATTAGAACTATAAAGCAGAGAGGATTCAATTTTCNCTCCTACTATGACATTACATACCTCATACCATTTATCTGCTTCAAAATACAGACTGATCCTGGGATATCCTTGGTAAAGTGGGACATTGGTAGCTTAGCAAGGATTAGAACTATAAAGCAGAGAGGATTCAATTTTCAATCAAAGTTTTAAAATCTCTTTTACGTGTGAGGTGCTGGAGGATGTTCAAAGATTAAGGTATGGTTCCTGCTCTCAAAGGGCTTACCATCTAGCAGACCTGATTAAGATATGGTTTCCTTCTCGGTGCTTTTGTCTTTCCAGATGTTTTTGCAGCAGTCAGCTGTCTCCCTAAGTTTCAGCAGCGTCCAGCGGCCAGAGTCTCAGCAGCAGCAGCAGCTACAACAGAGGTCAGGGGTTGTTTCCCAGACACAGCTTGTTCCTAGTTCTCAGCTTCCGGGGCAAATTTCGACTTCTCAAATAGCAAACCAGCAACTGCTACGGGAATCCAGTGTGATAGCAAGCCAGGTAACTATGCTTTTCTTTCAGATTCCATTATCCCAACAGGACAGGCAGATACCAATGAGTGAAGGCATGACTTATATTGATGGGGGAAGGGAGAAAGCTGGGGAGTAGAAGATAATTTGAAACTGAGTCAAAAGAAATGATCTTTTTTCAATAAGTTCTCATAAAAAAAAAGTAAGTTCCAAGGTTCATTTGGTCCCATATCTTAATAACTTCTTTCCCCCCCTCCCCTTCTTTTTTTCCTGATTTGCTTTGAAAGTTATCCTAGAACTAGCTTTTTCAGCCTTATTCCTAAATTGAGATGGCTAAAAAGGAGAGAGAAGAGCATCCTTCTAAATCTGCAAAGAGTCAAATCTAGGTTTGATATAAAGGAAAAGTTTCTAAGAATTAGGGCTACCTAAAAGTGGAAGTGGAATATATGACCTCAGATGGTCTTGAGTTCCCTCTCATTGGAGGCCTTCAGACAAAGACTGGATGACCCCTTATTGAGTATGTTTATAAGAGGGATTTTTGTTCAGGTACAGATTGGACTAGATGAACTCTAAGGCCTATCTCCCCTGAGATTCTGGATCCTAGAGATTCAGGTCCCCTTGTGTAAGCATCTGGATCTAAATGCTAGCCACACTCCTGATTTTGCAGACATAGGTTGGTGTAGGTCAGCTTTCCTTTGTCCCTTTTCCTGACACTGCCTGTGCTCTGAGAATTATCTGCCACACTTGTCTTTCTCAGATCCGTGCCCCTCTTACAAAGGCATCATCCAAAGACCCCTTGGGCTTGTCTTTTAGAGAGAGTCTAGTCTTACCCTACTCCTGAATGATGGAAAAACAGGCAGACAAGAGACCCGGCAGAAGCAGAACAGGATGAAAAATACCTTTCAGACCTCTTTTATTGAGACATCTTTGTCCTTAAAACTGTGCTCCAGGGTCAAAAGCCAATGAGAAGTACACAAGTCATGCAGGGAAATGGCCACTCTGTGAGCAGCTTAACCTCACAGTTCGGCAGCACAGCTTTACTTCCGCAAGCGCTGAGCCTGACCACGACTGGTTCTATCACCTCGGACACTGGACAGTGTCACCCCAGCCCAGACTTCAGCCATGATAGGCAACTCAGGTATGAACAATGCCTCTCTTCGGTTTTTGTTTATTTTTAAAATTAAATTATTGTTCAATTAACAAATGTGTATTTTCTATCCCTCCCATCTCCCCACATTGGGTTGGGGGTAGGAGGACAAAAATAAAGCCTTTGTAACAAATATATATAATCAAGCAAACCAAATCCCTACATTGGCCATGTCCAAAAGTGTGTGTCTCTTTCTACATATCTCTGACAGGAAATGAGTAGTGATCTTCAAGCATCTGGAATTAATGCCTTTCTTTGAAAAGTAACCGATAATCTGTCTTAAAGTGGTCCCTTAGATTTCCTTTCCACCGTGGAAGATGGAGGCAGATAAGGGAAATCCAGACATTCTTATGAAGCAAAAAGGTAGTTTCTGAGCTGTATGATACAGTGCAAAAGCCCAGTGGACAGACCAGCACTGCTAGATGCCTCCTAAGTAGGACACCAAGAAAAGTAAATTTAAGTTGAAACAGGAGGCATTTGAAGTAAGGGCAAACATACCAAGGATCAGTAAACACTATGATTGGCCAGGCATTACAAAGAGGGTGATGAAAATAATTCTCTCTCTCCTCCCAAAGACTGCTGCTTAGCCAACCAATCCAGCCAATGATGCCTGGGTCATGTGATGCAAGGAGGTCCTCAGACCCTGGCGGCACTGGACGACAAGTAAAGTAGGTGGCTGAGGGAAGGAGGGAGGAAGGAGGAAGGGAAGAGGGTAGAGGGAGAGTAGAAAACTGGATTGGAATCATATGATTTTCCTCCTACTCGAATCAGAATTGTTTTGATTCTGTATTTAGATGTTCTTGAGCCTTTTTAAAAAGGCCCCTATTCTGCAATCTCCTTCCATAACAACAACATGCTCCCTATATCCCCAGTTATTTAAATTAGTAAAATGTGGTACCGACTCCACATCATGGGGCTTACTCTTTAGACTCCCCAAGTCTGAAGAATCTCTACCCTCAGGGCATAAACTCCATTGGGCCCAGTCTAGCCACACTAACCCTGCAGGACCCTTTTCATGGTTTTTAACATTGATATCGAGAAGCAGCCTGGAATAATAGCTAGAGAGTGGCCTCTAGAGTCCACCTTCTCACACATACCAGAGATCGACCTGTCAATGCCTCAAGGAAATTCTTTAAGACTTTAAGGGAGAGTTGCTGCTCTGCTTTGGTAAAGGGAATTTTTTTACTGGGAGCTCCTTATAAGACACCAATGAACACAGATCTGGTCCCCACCCTATCCCCCCCCCCCCCCCCCCCCCCCGGCCAAAAAAAGTCCAACAGCCAAAAAGCCCCACTGACAGTAACTCTCTCTGCCAGCCTGTGGCACTGATGATATACCAGTAGGATATTAACAAACCTGTACAATTTATTTCCACCATCCATCCACAAAAATATTCTTCTCCTACCCCCACCCTCACCCCCTTGCCTATGCCAATAGTCCCGAGGATCAGAAAGAACTGTGTTTAACAGCACCATTAATTAACAGGGTCAGTATTACTGGCAACATGAAGTTGAATATGTGAAAAGCTATTGGAAAAATAAAATGTTTCCATGCCATGGAAGTGAAAGTGAAATAGAAATACCTGGCAGATGATGCCCTTTCCCTAAAATTCTGGCTTGATTTTTGGAAGAAGCCTCCCACTCAACAAAGAACCACACAGAGGCTCTGGAAGAGCCACCTACCTGCCTTGGAGACAGCTTCCACTGAACCCTCCATAGGCGCCCTTCCCAGGCTTCCCTTTTCTCCAACTCCATAATTCCCTTTGGAGCAATTCCATCAGCACTTTCCTCCCACCTCATAATCCTCCAGAGAACCCATCCTTGGTTCCTTTCCGGGGTATGTAAAGAATGACCCATTTCATAACAGTCTCGAATAACATCCAACCCCTGTCGCCCGATTTATTCGGGTCTCCTCTTCAACACACGGTAGCCTTCCTTTTAAACTCCCTATCCCCAAAGATTTAGCCAATGTTTCTGATTAAGTCGAGTTTTTAGCCTGTCCTGCCCAAGTGATCCAAGTAATTGGAGACAAACTCTTTCTGGTTATAATGATAGTAACAATACCTCCCAGTTTTAAAGCTCTTTAAGCAAAACATTTATGTTATCTCAGTTAATCTTCACAACAACCCTGTGAGGTTCATCCTCATTTTACAGATGATGAAACTGAGGCTGAGACTTGCCCAGGATCACACAATTAAATAACTGTCTGGGGTAGGATTTGAATTTAAGTGTTTCTTATTCCAAGTCCTTTACTCTATGCAGTGCTTCACCTAGCTGCTGGTTATGTTTGTTTCCAGCGAGGCTTAAAGTCAAGCCAATGAGTAGAGAAATTCTTTATTCTATGAATTCTGACTTTTTTAAAAGGCTAATTAGGTGACACATTGGAATGAGTGTTGAGCGAGGAAGACAAGTTCAAATTGGGCCTCAAATACTTACTAACTGTGTGAACCTGGACAAGTTAGGTAACTTCGTTCTGCCTTACGGGATAATAGCACCCTTCTCCCAGGATTGTTGAGAGGATCAGATGAGATAATAATTGTAAAGTACTTAGCACCGTGTATGAAACATAGTAAGCACTTTGTAAATGTTAGCTCTTTTTTCTAAAAAACAATAACTGACATTCCTATAGCAATTTATTTCATTTGCTCCTCACAAACTGAGATAAGTGAGATAAGTATATAGGCATTATTATCCCCATTTTACAGATGAGGAAACTGAGTGATTAAGTGGCTTGCTCATGATCACACAGCTAGTAAGGGTCAGAGACGGATTTGAACTTGAATCTGGCTTGACTCCAAATTCTGTCCATTATGCAACACCGCCTTTTCTGACTTGTTTTTTATGTTGTTATTTGTAGCCAATAGAATTCTGATCTTGATTATGTTTTTCTTTCCTCTCCCTCCTGAATTTCTATAGGACAGTAAGTTGACATCTTAGTGCCGGAGTCTTCTCAGTCATCCAGAATCTGTCTCCTCCAAATTCCTAGTCCAGTATCTGAAGCCTGTTAGGGCCACTTGTGAAATTCATATACATAGGGAGGGCTTCAGAGAAAACTCATTCAATATGATCTCAAGAAGATAAATTTCTTCCCTAGAAAAAAATTTACAGCTTTTTCAAATACCTAGAATTTTTTGAGACCCTCCCAGTGTTTCTCTGGTCTTCTCTCCATGTCTTGCTATCGACTTTGAATATCTCATTCTTAAAGCTATTTCTTTTTTTCTCTAAACCAAACAGATATCCTCAGAGCCCATCTGGATTTCCAAGTCTGGAAGTACAAACATCCAGCAGCAGCACCTCTACCCCTATTCTGCTGATGGGACAAGCTGTGTTGCACCCTGGTTTCTCTACCACACAGCCATCCCCCTTGCAGCCTCTGCAACCCCAGCAGCCACCACACTATCTGCAGGTAGGAGATGGACAGAGAGATGAGAGACTTCTGTAGGGATGGATCACACCAGGAAGAGATAATCGTTGACAAAGCCTGTTTCAACCCTTGGGTTTTTTTTCTTTTTTTTTTCTTTTTAATTTATTTATTTTTAGTTTTCAACATTCACTTCCTCAAGATTTTGAGTTCCAAATTTTCTCCCCATCTCATCTCTCCCCTCACCCCAAGATGGCATGCATTCTGTATAGCCCTTCCTCTAATCTGCCCTCCCTTCTATCTCTCCCCCACCTTCTCTTACCCCCTACCCC